TGTGATTTGGAATGAAACATATGCACTCCTTATATAGTGAAGTAGGATAGTTAATATTTCTCACATGAGCAATGTGGGACTAAATGGTTTTTTCAACCAAAAATAATATTCTAACAATGTGGGACTTGAGAAATTTTTAAATTCAACATATTGAAACATGGACATGTTCCAACAATCCCCCACTTGAATTTAAAAAATTGATTTTAGAAGTAACGTAAAATGTTTCTAAGATTGTGCATAAACAAAGGTGTCTACGAGTTGAACCTTTGTATAGCAAGTAGGATTCCAATTCAACAAGAGTGACACAAATGTCTTGAACTCTATCTCAGACATCAAACCCGCACACAACCTTTTCTTAAGGTGTATTCTATTAGCCTGTGCTTTAATGGCCCTGCACGTGTATCCCAGTTTAATGAAGGCTCTAGGAATTCTGCCTCGAAATTCCATAGGAACCGGCCTAAGTTCCACAATCACATAGGTGAATCTATCAAGAGTACTCCTGTAGCCTAGGTACTCCCTCATATAGATTATAGATCTCATTAAGAGTTTCTATTATCTCATCCTCTTATTACTTCAGGATTCATGCTTTACTTGCATGATCATCTCATATTACTCATAACTTGTTATTACCCATTGAACCTATTTCTTGGGATCTCCAGTCATTTAGGTCGGGTTACCATCATGAGCAAATCATTTTCATATAGGCATTAGTCCCATCTTATATGATGTATTATAGACTTTCTCTCTAGCTAATCCTTTCGTCAAAGGATCTGCTAAATTTTCATCAGTGCGTACATGATCCACTCTTACAGCTCCTTTAGAGATACAATCTCTAACAGTGTTGTGCTTTCTTCTTATTTGACGTCTTTTACCATTATAATAACGGTTCTCAATTTTTGCAATAGCCGCGGTACTATCGCAATGGATCAACACAACTGACATATGTTTTTCCCATAAGGGAATCACAGTTAGCAAGCATCTTAACCAACTTGCTTCTTCACTAGCAGTCGCTAATGCTATATTCTCAGGATAGCATGTTTCTTTGATTTTCAAGATACAACTCCTCTAGCTATGTTGAATACATATCCACTAGTTCATTTGGAATCATCTGATAAGGTATTCCAATCTGCATCATTGTATCCTTCAGATACAATAGGAAATCTCTGATAATGTAAATCGAGATCATGGTCCTTTTAAGGTACCGTATGACTCGCTCAATAGCTTGTCAATATTCATTACTCGGTCTACTAGTAAACCCGCACAACAATCCCACGACATATGCAATGTCAGGTTTGGTACAATCAATGGAATACCTAAGACTTCCAATGATGCTCATATGTTCTGTTTGTCTAACACTTTCACCAGTGTTCTTAAACAGCTTCACGCTTGGATCATTTGGTGTGTTCACAGGTTTACTGTCAAAGTAATTATATTTCTTTAAGATCTTTTTCACATATTGTGATTGATCCAAAGAAATTCCTTGCTCGGATTTTATGATCTTGATACCAAGAATCATATTCACTTCTCCGAGGTCTTTCATATCAAAGTTGTTGCACAACAATGATTTCATATCATTAATGACCTGAATGTTTGATCCAAATATGTGTAGGTCATCTACATATAGACATATGATAGTGCAAATATAATTCTCAAATTTGTAATAAATGTATTTGTCACTTCCATTCACTTTGTACACATTAAATATCATTAAGTTATCAAACTTCACATGTCATTGCTTTGAAGTTTGTTTTAGCCCATACAAAGACTTATCTAACTTACAAACCTTGTTTTCTTGTCCATGGATCACAAACCCTTCCGGTTGTTTCATATAGACTTCTTCTTCTAAGTCACCGTTTAAAAAAGTTATTTTAACATCCATTTGGTGTACTATTAAGTTATAAATAGCAGCTATTGAAATAAGTACCCTAATGGATGTAATTCTAGTGACAGGAGAAAAGGTGTCGAAGAAATCTATATTTTCTCTTTGTCTAAGACCCTTGGCAATAAGGCAAACCTTGTATTTATCAATAGTTCCATCAGGTTTTAGTTTCTTTTTCAAAACTCATTTACAACCGATTGGTTTGCAACCAGGAGGCAAGTCTACTAAGTGTCAGGTCTTGTTAGATTCTAGAGATTATATCTCATCATTGATAGCTTCTTGCCATAACTAAACATCCAGAGATGATAATGCTTCTTGAAGATTCATTGGATCTTCTTCTACATTATAAGCCGCATAATCAGGCCTATAGTCTTTAGCAACTCTTACTCGTTTACTTCGTTGAAGTTCTATTTCTACATTGTCGTTGCTTTTTGTGCTTCTTATCACATGAATGTGACTCGACTGTGTGCCCCCACTATTTCTCAATTTGAAAAGAAATTTGTCTTCATAGAATTCAACATCAGTTGATTCTATGATCACTTTTGCCTTTAGGTCATAAAACCTATATGCTTTATTGTTTGCTGCATACCTAATGGAAACACATTCATATGCTCTACTAACGAGTTTAACTCGTTTCGGGTCCAGAATGCTGACATAAGTCAGACAACCCCAAGTTCTCAAATAAGACAAGTTTGATTGTCTTTTCTTTAATATCTCATAAGGAGAGATCTTACATTTTGACTTGGGGACTCTATTCAGGACATAGCAAACAGTCAATAAAATTTCCCCCACCAGTGAGGTGCAGCATCAGAATTCATCATAATTGCAACAACATGTTCAGTAGAAGTTCTATTCTTTCTTTCTATTTTACCATTCATTGCAAGATAGTATGGTGCAGTCGTTTCATGTACAATTCCATTTATAAAATTCATTAATAGACTAGACTCATACAGTTCCTCTATCACTATAAATTCTTATTATATCATTTTCAAATTCTTTACAAAAAATTTAACATATAAACTCCATTCTTCGTAATGGAGTACAAATCTACCCCAATAGACTGACTAAACCATGTCTTATTTAAAATAAAACCAGAAACAATATTCTTTCTAATCTTAGGAACATGCATAACGTTCCTTAAGATTAAAGTCTTTTTGAAGGTGAAATTTAGCTTCATGTCTACAATTCCAGCAACATTCATGGTCTGGCCATCTCCCAACAACACTTTCTTATCTTTAGTATTCGTGTATGTTTAAACATAACACGATCATAACAGACACAACGAGAGACGCATGTGTCTATCCAACAACCAACATATCCATCAACCATGTTGATTTCAATGGCCATAGCAATAAATTTCCCATTAGTCAGGTTGACCTGTGCATTAGGGACAACACCAAGTCCAACCTTACTTCTACATTTCTTAGTCATATGACTTGATTTTCCATAGTTAAAACAAAGAGAAACCAACTTCATTTCTTTTAGGTGGTGGTTGTTGCCTAGTTGGAGCTATTGGGATCATAGAAGGATTCCCATTCTTAATTCGGTTCGCAATATTGTGGTTCTGATTCTTTAATCATTTACCAAATAGCTTCATAACTACACCGAATTTCTTTTTGTTGTTTGAAACAACCAAGACTTTTTCTTTTTAATATTGTCTCTAAGATTTGTTTTTTTTTTAAACATTCAAACTATGGGGTAGTTTGTCAATAATAAAACCAATTTGAAATTGTTCATTTAAACACATACCTTTTGTGATGATATTTTAAGCAATCTTTTGAAGTTAGTAATATTGAGCCTCCATCGACCTTACATCTTTGCATTTGATACTTGAAGTAGCGGCTAACAACATACTTCTTTGCTCCAGCTTCTACGTCATACTTCTTTTTCTGAGTCTTTCAATTTTGTTTTGCAGTATCACATCAACTGTAATTATCATACAGATCATCTGCGAGTCTATTCAAAATATGATTTTGTAGAGATTTTCATTCTCTTTCTATAAGTGTTCCTCTAAATCTCCAGATTTACTACCGTTAGTTTGTTCGATTGATCCAGAAGGAGCAACAGAGTATCATCGATCAAAATGTTAACAACTTTTTTCAACATTAAGAACTTCATCTTTTATTGCCAACGTTTGAAGTGACTTCTCTCAAACATGAACGATTTCTCAACGACAATATCCGCAAAAAAACCAATAATTTCTTCGGTAGCCATGGCAGTTTGAAACGTCTTAAAATTGTTGGTTTCAGATTTTAAAATATTTTCCACCGAAGAAATTACCAGGTTGAGTAGCAGACTAGGTCGCTCTCTTTAAGACATTTCGCGACACAGCTCAAAATTATGCAAAGCAGTCGAACTACTGCGCCGCCTCCAGGATAAAACAACCCAGTTCTATATTGTACGATTACTACTTGCATGATAGATAATCGGTCTAGAAATACACCCTCTAATGGTACAAGACCATTCAAATATGGTATCAACACCACTCATAGTATCTGATACAAAGACCAGTCATAATAATTTCTCAAACAAAAAGAAACTCAAATTATTCTCCAAAGAGAATATAATGATGGTCATTTGACCACTCATAATAATTTCTCTAACAAAGAGAAATTCAAATAATTCTCCAAAGAGAATTCAAAAGATTAAACTTGAAAATTTCTCAACTCAAATGAGGAGAAATTAACATAATTCTCTAAAGAGAATTCAAGAAAATACTCAGAAAATTCAACAAGTAGGAAGAAAGGGGAAGAAGATGGCGCTTCGACAATTCAAGAGACGCAGAGTTATGAGAGTGAGGAAGGAAAAACTAATAGAGTAGTTTTTGGTGTGATTTGGAATGAAACATATGCACTCCTTATATAGTGAAGTAGGATAGTTAATATTTCTCACATGAGCAATGTGAGACTAAATGGTTTTTTCAACCAAAAAAAATATTCTAACAATGTGGGACTTGAGAAATTTTTAAATTCAACATATTGAAACATGGACATGTTCCAACATTTTCATTTAATTTTTTTTCCAGATTTGATCGTAATTTATTTATTTATTAATATTCGCCATAGATGGATGGTGTATCACTTTTGATATTGCATGCACAATTTGACTTTTTTGTGTGTGAATGGAATTAGGTGAGAATAAGAAAAAGAATGTTAGAGGAGAAAGAAGAAACAAAAAGGTTCTTGAAGATATTGGAAATCTTATGATTAATCCAGCATATCCTCATTCTGATAAGCCTAAGCGCATCACAAGGTTTGGGTTTTATATTTTTTCTATTAAAGTTTAATTTTTGTTAACAATTTGTTTAAATTTGTTTGTTTGTTTTGCTGCAGGAATCAATTAGCTTCTATTGCTCAAGCAGTAAAGAAGAACAAGGTGCATGTTTAATCTGTTACTTAGTTTATTTCGTTAGTTTTTGAAAATTTTGAAGGTATTTTCTTGAAATGGTTTATATGTTGATCTGTTTTGGTGGAATTTGAATGATGTTGTAGATATTAGTAGTTGAGGCTGTCAATGGAAACTTTGTTGTTGTAAAAAAATCTAAGAAACCTACTGCATATGAAGTTATTGTCATCAGCTCTAATGAAGAATCTGAAGTGACAGAGATATGACCTCTAAAAGGAAGAAAGTTAAGAGAAATATCTAAGATAAATGTTAGGATATTCAGTTATGTGCTTTCAGCTAGGAGAAAGGTTAATTAATGGATAACCCCTTTGTTTTCTATTTCTCATGTGAAATTTGGTTTTGTGTTTAGAGGGTGTTGTGTTTCAATGTAGACTAATAGAAAGTATGGTCTTTTGTTTTGGTTGTTAAAACTCAGGCTGCTGGTAGAAATGTGCCAAATGATATGGTAATGAACATTGGTAAAAGATGACAAGGATAATGAATTGGCTACAACTGAATACATTGATGGTATTCACAAGTTTTACAAACTCACTGAAAGGAGGAGAATGATTGGTTCTTCATCTTCTTTAAAAATATGGGCCCGAATATGAAATTGGTCGTCTTAGGATTGAAGTTGGTCGTCTTGAGGTACTTTGTATACATATAAAGAATATGAAGCTTTCTGAAGACGTAATATTAAATCCTCTCCCTTAGTTGTTTTTTATTGGACATTATGTGATCTGATTTTTGACATTTTATATTATAAATTTTTATTCTGCATCTGCAGGTAGGGCTGTTCTCGATCTGGTCTGGTTCAGATATAAGCCCTTCCGAGAAGTGGACCGAAACTGTAATCGAATAATCCAGGACCAGACCAAAATAGTGATGGATAATTTTTTAGGACCGAAATTGGACCAAGTAGCATTTTGGTCAGTCAATTGGTTCGGTTCCACTAGACTGGTTCTCGGGTAATCCACTAGACAACTTGCTCACAATGGGAAACTTATTGGATACTCGAGATAACAATATATACTAAGCACGTCTGAATCTCGGGTAACCAGGTCCAAATACAGCCCTATCTGCAGGTTTATTTGGAAAACATTGCTAAGAAACCCACTATTATGTTGGTGCTGATTTAGTTTCTCTGTGTACCAAAGTTGCACTTTAATGTATCAGATAATAAATGGATGTGATTGATCTTGACAATAAAACCATTGATGCTCATATATTAAACTTGATGGAAGTCATTAATGAACATTTCCATACTACACTTGGAGGTGATGGAGAACCATACTTTATTGGTGAGTGGATGTTTAGGTCAAGGAGAAAGGTTCAGAAATTTGGTGACAAAAGAGGAGACAGACGAATCCGAAGGGAAATGAGATAGCTTCGGGGAAGTTAGAAATCTTTGTATTTTCTGGAAACAAAATAGTCAAATCTTTGCTTTGAAAAAGTTCTTAGGCTGAGGCACTGACCTGATTGATAAAGTTGGGCTGCATTTTTTTATCAACTATAATTACTAGACAGAACTTGAAGTTTACAACTATTCCATCTAAGATTGAGGTGAATCAGTTGACATAATAGAGATATGAATTATTTGCAGGGTTTAGAAGCCATGTAGCCATGTGTTAATACACTTTTCAATGTACCTATTCTTATAAACAAAACTATCAAAAGATGTGGTCTTTCCAGTGATGGATTTGAAAAATTTTCTGTTAACTCATTTTGGCATCTTCAGCTTAACGTTAGGGTTTTTAATCCAAGTGCATCTTCTTTTAGGAGTGATTTAGGATTTTAATTCTATAGAATATTATATTGATGCATTGGAATCACTAACAGAAGCTCAAAAAACTGATTATAGTATTTGTAACCTGTCCATATCACAAATGTTAAGGTTTGCTAACATGGTTATTGATTTCTGTAATGACTATTTGTTATTATTGTTGATTCATTTGAGCAGGTAGGTTGTTTAAAAAATATGGAATTGATTCAACTCTCCGGTTCAGTTCTAAAATATTGTACTAAGAACAACCTTATGCTATAGCAAGTATATTTGTGTTTGTACATTTCCTTAACAAGTTTATAGACACCTCACTCTTTTTCTTTAATAATGTTAAGAGGCTGATATAGCTCATCAAAATAAAAACACTCATCTGATAAATTTACAAAACTTAACAGAAACTGTCATATAAGTACAATAGATTAACCAATATATTGGACAACATAGTTGATTATATATTTTTTAAGGAAGCCCGAAGCAAAAATTATTACTAAGAACCATCATTTTTTGTCAAAAATGTTGGTGCATGAAGGAGAGATGAAAGACAAAAGGAATACATTGAATAACGGCTACAAAATAAGGAATAATGAATTACATTGGTCTACCTACTACTAGCTATTTATACACAAATTAGGGTATAATAAAATACTAAAATATTATCTAACAAACTTAATCAATAAGATATTCCTAAAATATAAATTAATTCCAACACCATCCCTTAATTTATATTTACACAAAACTGACAACACCAATTTCATTCCTCAAATGAATAAATTGATCAGTCTTGATAGCCTTTGTTAGAACGTTTGTCAGCTGCTTCTGGGTGCTAGAGTGCATAACTTCTAATATTCCACTCTGAACCTGATTCATCAGAAAGTGATACTTGGTCTCAATTTACTTGCTTCTCCCATGCAGCACTGGGTTCTTGACAAGATTGATTGTAGACTTGTTATCAATCATCAGCTTCATAGGTTTGTCTACCTCAATCTTCAGATCTTGCAGCAAGTTCAGAATCCACACAGTTTGGCATAGAGTCGGAGCTCCTGCAATATATTCAGCTTCACATGTTGACAGCGCAACAACAAGTTGCTTCTTGGAACACCAAGAAATTCAGAAGCACTTCTTTTGTCAACTCTGTCTCCACACCAATCAGAGTATGAATAACTCAGAAGTTCTGATTCGATATTCCTTCTAGAAGAAAATAACACTCCATACTTCAGAGTTCCCATCACATACCTCAGAATCCTGACAACAGCTTGGTAATGAGACCACTTTGCTTTACTCATAAATTTGTTAACCATTCCAACTGCATAACAAATATCAGGTTTGGTATTACACAAATATCTCAGAGAACCAACCATTTGTTTGAAAGTTGTAGCATCCATATCCTCTCCATCAGAATCAGAGTCTAACTTCTGACTCGTATCAGCAGGTGTGATAGCAACTTTGCAATTCTCTAGCTTAAATCTTTTCAGAAGCTCAAGTTTATACTTCATCTGATGCAAAATGATTCCTTTCTCAGTACATAAACTTCATCCCTAAAAAGAAACTCATTTTCCTAAGATCTGTCATTTCAAACTCATTCATCAGAACCTTCTTGAACTCAGTTATCTCTTGTTCAGAACTTCATGTGAGCAATATGTCATCAATATACAAACATACCAAAATCATATTACCTTCTGAAGTGTGCTGAGCATAAACACCATACTCCATCTCACACTTCTGAAACCCTTTTTCCTTGAAAAATGAATCAATCTTCAGATTCTAGGCTCTGGGTGCTTGCTTCAATCCATACAAGGCTTTGTGTAATTTGAACACCATCCCTTCCTGATTCTTTTTCTTAAATCTATGAGGTTGTGACACGTATACCTCTTCTTTGTAATTGACCATTCAGAAATGCTGATTTTACATCTAAATGCATCAGAGGCCAATTTCTGTTAGCAGCTATTGCAATCACTAGTCTGATTGTTTTATGTCTTGCTACATGTGTAAACACTTCAGAGTAATCCAACCCAAAATTCTGTAGAAAGCCTCTTGCTACTAATCTTGATTTGTGTTTGCCAATTGATCCACCTGGATTTAGCTTCTACTTGAAAACCCATCTGACACTGATGGCTTTCTTGCCTTTTGGAAGTTCTGTCAGCTTCCAAGTCTTGTTTCTCTCTATAGCATCAAGTTCTTCTTTCATGGCCTACAACCAGACTTGCTGCCTAAGAGCCTCTTCCGTACTCACGGGTTCAGAGTCTACTAACATTTCACACTTAATAACTTCTCTTTCAGAGTCTACTTCAGTGTCTTGTAACATGTTAAACTCTGCAAATCTTCTTGGGATACTTTTGACTCTTTGTTGCCTCTGAATTTGAACTTTAAAACCTCATACACCAGAACTTTCCCCTTCAGAATCTCTTGCTTCAGAAATTGGGCTCTCTCCAAAACCTTGAATGTCTTCAGAGTCTGGAAATTTCCCAGAGTCTGAATCACCATCGGAGTCAGAGTCTGAATCATCTGCACCTTATGAATCTTCTTCAGAGTCAAAGTCTTTACCAACTTCAGAAACACGTGTTTCTGACTTTTCTTCAAGAGTTCTCTCATTAGAGTCAGGACGAGACCTTTCCCAATTCCAGACTTTTGATTCTTTTACAATGACGTCTGTGCTAAACTCAACTTTGTTAGTTTTTGGACAATAAAGTTTGTACGAACCTGTATTGTGGTACCCCACCAATAACATTACTTTACTTCTATTATCTAGCTTCTGTCTTCTGGCTTCTGGGACATGTTTGTAACATACAGAACCAAACACCTTCAGATGACTAACACTTTGCTTATCTCCAGTCCATTTCTGAATAGGAACTATCTCCTTCAGCTTCTTCGTTGGACATCTGTTGAGTACATAACATGCAGTGGCAACAGCTTCTCCCTATAAAGTATGAGGAAACTTCTTCTCTTTCAGCATGCTTCTCACCCTATCAAGCAAAGTACAATTTCTTCTTTCAGCAAGACCATTGGGTTGAGGAGTATAGGGAGCAGTAATCTCATGCTCAATTTCATTCTCCTCACAGAACCTTCTGAATTTTATGGAGTTATACTCATCACCACCATCAGTTCTAAGAATCTTCAGAGTCTGGCTACTCTGATTCTCAACCTTCAGTCTGAACTTCTTGAATTCAAAAAACACCTCGTGTTTGTACTTTATCAGAGATAACCATGTCATTCTGGTGAACTCATCAACAAATGACACAAATTATTTATTCCCTCCAATCGATGCTACTGGAAATGGACCGCACACATCAGAATGCACTACTCCCAATGCATGCTTTGCTCTTGGAGCTACTTCTGATGCAAATGGTAATCTTGGTTGCTTCCCTTCCATGCACACCTTGCATGACTTCTCAGGCTTCTTGATTGTAGGAATTCCATGTACCACCTTCTTTGATTTCAAATGCCCTAAGCTTCTGAAATTCAGATGACTAAATCTTCTATGCCATAACTCACTCTCCTTGACAACACTTGTTGCATTAAGACATTCAGAGTATGCAGTTCTAACATTCACCTTGAATGTTCGGTTCCTTCCCTGTTCTAACTCCATAATCAGCTTCTGATTACAGTCACACAAGTTCAGAAGATTGTCCTTCATGGTAACCGAAAAACCTTTCTCAACCAGTTGTCCCACACTCATCAGATTGCTTTTCATGCCAGGTACATACCATACATTCTGGATCACTGTTGTTTTCCCATTGTTTAGAATGATTATGACATTTCCCATACCTTCTACATTGACGTACTTATCATTGGCACATCTGATCTTTATACTCTTCCTAGAGTCAAAATTAACCAACCATTTCTCGTTTCTAGTAAGATGGTTTGAACACCCTGTATCCATATACCACCATTCTGATGAATTGATATTATTAGGTTCAGAAGCCAACAATAACACAAGTTCATCATCAGACTCTCCTCTAGCTATATTTGCTTCTTCTGACTTCCTTTCTTTGTTTGACCAGTAATCTTTGGCATAGTGACCAAAGTTCTTGTAACAGTAACACTGAATATTCTTCTTGTCAGACTTCTCATTTCCCTTCCGAACATTCTTCTGTCTATCAGAGTTTGAAGCTTCTGACCTTTGACCACCATTAGTTTTCTTCCTGGCTTCTGACCAAGTCTGCTTCTGATACTTCTTACCAGAATTTACTTTCAGAGCCTGCTGCTCTACTTTCCTCTCAAAAGTTCTCTCAGTCAGACACAACTCACGCGCCTCTAGACTATTTTGCATCTCTTCAACTCTCATGATGCTCAGATCTTTGAAATGTTCAATTGCAACTACAATGTAATCAAACTGAGAAGTTAAAGATCTAAATATCTTCTCAATGATTACTTGTTCAGAAAGAGTTTCTCCATAAGCTTTCATCTCATTAGTGATTAGAATCACTCTAGAGATGTACTCAGAAACCTTCTCGTTATCCTTCATGTTGAGATTCTCATATTACTTTCTGAGAGACTGAAACTTCACCTTCTTCACTGATGCGTCACCACCGTAACATCTGACCAGTGTGTCCAATGCAATATTTGTTGTTTCAGAGTCAACAATCTTCTCAAACACGTTCACATCC